TGCAGCAGTTGCTCGCAGCGTGGCCCACAAGTGCACCTACAGGAGAAGAAAAATAGGCGAAATGAAAAAATATATATTGCGAAGTGTAAGGCAATTAAGTATGTAAATCGCCTACATTTGTCTTCTCAAAAAAATCTGAATACTTTCGGGAATGAGGTTGTTTCGTGCATGACCACCGCAACATCCTCAGGACATCGTCACAACTCTTACTCGAGAATCGAGCTCCCAACTCTGGAATTGCCTCGTACGCCCAAATCTGCATGACATTTGTAACAGTAATAACCATATTTGGAGATAAATAACAATGAGCGATGAGAAGAACTGAAATGAACCAAAATAGATGTATACCTGGACAGCAAGAGGGAATCCGTACAATGTGTATGTCATTCTATCACAATCATTCACTTTTACCATGTCTGCCTTTCTTCCCCATCCACGTAGTAGTGATTTGATGAGAAGTTGAAAACATACTGTCCCACATGGGTAGGCATTGAAAAAATCCAAGTCGTCAACGATGGAAAGAGTTGTCGAATTTATTCCTACATTTCGATCTCTTGAATTAAATACCCCTTCAATAATTAGTGCCAACCCAAGCTTGTAACGATCGTTACGGTTGGCACATTTCAAAAAAACTTTCTCCAGGCCGCTATACATTATCCGGTCCATATTAGCAAACATTTTATCTTGTAGACGGGTTTTCTCTAGGATTTTGTCAACTTCGGCACCTTTAGGCACTGGACTGCACTTCAAGCCAGTAATTAGTGCGAACTCCAACAGTCCAAATGGTGCAAACCTTTGGTTCACCTTGAACCAAGCCTCAAACCGCTTTCGGCATACCACCGATCTGTTTACCATTTCATGAATTAATTGAGCAGATAGTTTCAACTCCGGTAACCTTGCAACATGTCCTATACAACTGTCCTCCAACTGAAGCTTTTGCTTTTGTTGGGATCCAATTTGTTGAGGACAACTGATATATATTTTGTATTGCTCACTTGCGACACATGGGCCGAAACACGTTCTTCCTCCGGAATTTTATATCGATGTGTCATACTCATCTACAAATCAAAACAAATGAAAACAATACTTTAACAAATAGTATGAGAACGTACAAATGAAATCAAATATAATATTCTTGTTAGAATGCAGTGAAAGAAAAATGATTTTTACAATACAATTGTTTGATAAAATACCATATCTAAACTAAGTTGTTTAATTGTTGAAATTAAAACAAACTTGGCTTCTGATTTGAAGCTATCATATAACCATTTTATAGTTGATCACCATTCAAACAGTTCAAAAGTATACACACAATCTTCTACAATTTCATTAAGTTAATTGCCTAATTTAGATATGCAAATAAACCAAAAATGCAATATTCTTTAACAAAATAAATAACAACATAGCCTTGTATTAAATAAATTTAGAGCCAACTACAACAGACCATACGCAAAATCAAGTATACATGTCATAAGATTTAACAAAGTTTTCTATCTGCTATCAACCTATCACAGTCTTCCTCCATAAAAAACCATCAATATACAAATGCAACCCTCAACAATATGCAGAACAAATTTGATGCGAAAATGAAGCCATTTAGTTGCTGATGAGCATTCAAACAGTCTAAGAGTGTATAATAGCAACACAACCTGTGTCATTTCATCATGTTTATTGCCTGACTTAGATGCGAAATATGCCTCAAATGGAGTATTCTTCACTTTGTACTAGTGTTATTTATCATCTAGCAGCATCAAATTTAGTTGACATTAGATTATATCTCAAAGCAAAAGATACAATAACAGGGACAACGAAAAGTACAATCATTTTCCTGATTTCTTTAAACACTTTACCTCTTCAACCTTTTCGACAGTATCTCACATGTACCACTTTTTATCTCAAATTGTATCAACAGTTAGTATTTGCTTGTCCAATAGAATCGAGACACTCAGTGACCTTGACATCAATTTATGTTAAACTAGCTAAATCTTAGGATTTAGGAAGAGGGGAGACTTGGGAAAGTGAAAAAAATAACGAAATAAAGAAAAAAATAACGAAATAAACTTACTCTATAGCACTGGACTCTGAAGTGTGGTGGGCAAACGACAACTGGGAAAATAAGAGAGAAATGGACAGGCTCGTTGTTGGCGGGTTGGGTCGGAGTGAAGATTGAGAGACTGAGAGTGAGAGTTGAGAGGACTTAGTTTAGGGCTTCTTTTATTTTTTCATTCCCCCGCCTTCATTTTTTTTTTATTTGGGTCGGGTTCTATCAGGTTTCCATTTTTTACCAATAACCCGATCCAACTTGACCCGCACCTACTTGACCCATAATCCGACCCATATCGATCCACACCTATCCGACCTAGGCATTTAATGCTGATTGGCATTTCTACGTTGATTGACATAAATAATGATATGGAAAATTTTAAATTCTTGGGTGGAAATTATATTTTCTAATAGGGGTATTTTCGTCTACATAATTGAAAAATGGACATTGACAAAATTGTGAACATTTTTGCAAATGACTCGCTGAAAATGGACATAACGTGAAATTTCCTCTAATATAAAATTGACGTGTTGTTTTCGATTTTATGTTTCAACGAGTTTGACTATTCCAAAGTATTAACACTTCTTACACGACCTTTGATGTCCAAAAGACTCTTTCAAAAGTTTTAAATTGAACAATGAAAGAAGTTATATTAGTTTTAGCCCCCGTTTAATTCCATTTTTTGGTCACAAAAATAAAAAAATATGGCCGTTATTCATCATATTAAGTCATTATATTTAATTTTCTATCTCTTGTGTGGGTCCCGTAACGAGTATATTTTTCATTTTCATTTTTAAAAAAATGGGAATCAAATGGAGCCTTAATTTGAAGGGAATTTTTTCGATTAAGAAATTCAATAGACTAGCATTTCATAATACGTATATTAGGTAGAAAGTCTGAATTTCACATTGTGAAAATAGAAATAGACCTTACCCATCTTGCAATATGATAAATATACTATTGAAAAAAAATGAACATCTTGCACAAACAATATGTATTCTTCGTGCCAAGTTCTTAAAACCCTAAATTTCATTTTCTTTTATCTTGCATCTTCCTCTCTAATTTCATTTTACTTTATTTTCCTAATAAATCATAAATGAAAATATGTATACCTATTATGAAAGGTTAAGGGTGTGTTTGGTTTGCGCTTTTGTTTTTCGAGGGACTATTTTTGAATTACAGAAAATGTGCTTGGTTTGTCATTTTGAAAAACATTTTCTCAAAACAGAAAACTAGAAAATGCGTTTGATTTAAAATGTTTAGAAATTGCTTTATGATATTTATTCAATTAATTTGATTATTTAGTAAAACATAATAATTTTATGCTAATATATTATCAGATAATATATATTTTAAACTTGGTGAATTTACTATTTTAAAAGTACTGTTGAACATCCCTTAAAAAAAAAGAAGAAGCAAAAACGGTGTGTTTTGAGCATTTTCTGCATTTTGAGTCTTTTAACTGAAAATACTCAAAACGAAAAAAAAATCGTTTTGAGTTTTCAGTTATAAATTTTTCCTTATTTTCGGAAATGCATTTTCGAAAACGAGTGACCAGACGCGTTTTGGGCATTTTTGAAATCTAAAAAATAGAAAATTGCTAGAAAACGGCAAACCAAACGCCAACTTATTTCTTATACACAACGAGTCCTTTAACAACCAAAAAAAAAAAAAAAACATTTTTACTTCTTTTTGGATAGAAGAGCGGCACATATTCCTATCAATCTCTTCTCCAACTTCCAAATTTCTAATATCATTTTGTCCCTTTCATATTTACAAATATTTCCCAATGCAAGTTGACGATACAATGCAGTTGTACATGGGCAGAATGTTGTCCTAATCTGCATATTCTATTTCTTAAAAATAAAAATGCTTTAAAAAATAATTAAAATTAACGGGATACAATGCAAATTCTTGTTTTTTAATTATTCTTTTGATAAAAATAATCGAGTATTATAAACTTTATTTATATTTTAGTTATATACATGATTAATCTTAATTTCGTCAAACTCAACGAATGGAGTTTTGGGCTCTTTTTGTTTATTAGTTCAAGTATTACTTCATATCAATTTTGGGCACGTAATTCCATTCGAATTGTAAAAGCTTTTCAGTTTCCTTTTTATCTCACAATTATCCCTAATACCGACACATACAAAATAGCCAATAGACCACATTCCAATAATTGCTTAGTGGGTGCTAATCATGATTGTCACATATTTTAACATGTAATACTTATTTTACACTCCTCGTCAATGACCCCTTCCCAGTTAATTAAATAATTAAATCATGCCCCCGAGCATAATTTTGTGGTGCAAAGGGTAGGGGTGAGGTTATCTCATGCCTTGTTGGCAGCCGCGGTGTGAGGGTTCGATTCCTGAAACATGGAATTGGACTCCTTGTAGGCGTAGTGTACAAGCAGCTCTTGTTCCCTGACCTGTTGGGACATATCCCACGATTTACCTTCCTTACAAAACTCTAGGGACGGAGTGATGGGGGCTCTCAAAATTGGGGTTCAACCTTTTTAAATAATTAAATCATGGATAGAGTGGATAAAGTAAATAGAAAATGAAAAATATTAATGAAGGGTGTTGACAAATCAAAGTAAATTAATGATGCCACTTCATCTTTTTATCAGTAATTTTGAACGAATCAAATGCCAAACAAGATTACAAGTAAAAATGTATGATTTTGATGCAAAACTCGATTTCAATGAACTTATCTAATCATACTTTAATTTGCATCATATAGTTACGAGCAAAATGGTAAATGAAGCAAGTAATTGGATTGTTAATTATTCAACACATTACTATAAATGGTAAATGAAGCAAGTAATTGGATTGTTAATTGCTTCCTTGAACGAAATTATTTGTGTTCTGAATGTCACGAAAGAATAATGTAAAAAAATTGCAATTAAGGAAAAGGAAAATTCAAACAACTCCCAACAAATGACTACAGTTTCTTGTGACGCTATCATTACACCCAGTCCCAACGTAAAATCCAGGAAAAATACAGTGAAGCACTGTCCAGACACAAAAGGAGCACTTTTCAGATTAGGGTTCTAATGACCGCACATTTATTAATAATCACCCACCCTGAATCATAGCAATAATTATTTCTCCTCGCTGAGGTATGGAACCTACAGTTCTTGATTTCTTGTGCATATACATGTAAATTCACATGCCTATACTTTTTTTTTTTTTTTTTTTTAAAATTAAGACAGTACTACAAAGTACTTCCTAGACTTTCATTGATCAATAAATCTATTTTTACAAATTTGTATTGATATATTTTCTGAATATTTGGTCTTTTATTTGATTTCAAATCTATCAGTTATTGAAGTAGTGAAGCTGCGAAGAAATTGTGGCTCTTTGAAAATTTTAGTACATGGCAGTGAAGGAACAAACAATTATTGACGGTTCATCTGCGGATGAAACTAAGGAAGAAGAAGAAGATTTTAGAAGCTGTTGCGGGGATGAGGACGAAGTGGAGGATACAGAAGAACCCACAAAGGCAGATTTGAAGGACGATCTCGATGATTATTCTGTAAAGATGTATTTCAAGGGTGTGTCTATAGCAGGTCCTGGAGATTCTGGTTCTAGGCTTTCTGGAATTGGGGTGGTTATGGAGAGGTCATGTAATTTTTCTCCAATTCGAGTGCAGAAGAAGCTCGATTTCTATGTGGAAGAATCAGTGGCAGATTATTTAGCTTTGCTGGATGGTTTATCAGAGGCTGCAGAAAACAATATTAGGCGGGTTTTCGCCTTTACTGAGTCTGATATCCTATATTATCAAGTAAGCAATTTCCCAGCTCCAAACTTGTAATCTTGCATTGGTTTGTGTTTGTTTGTTAATGATAACAATTTGTTAACCCAACAAATCTGTAATTATCCCATGACTTGCAAAATGGCAAGTTCATTTGTTTCCTGCAATACTCTTGGTCCACAACATCTTAGGACACGCTTGGTACACAATATTTGACGACATTGGACTCCTTAATAGACCATTTTTTATTTTTTATTTTAATATTGCTCATTATTATACATTGCAGCTCACCAACAAGCCACAAGTGTTTGCTTCATATGACGAGCAATTATTTTCTTATCTTTCCATTTTTGGTTTTTAAATTGAACTTCTCATGATCAATTTTCTTTCTATTTTAGAAAACTAATTCAATTTTACCTATTTGCTTTCTATCGAACTAAACTTAACAATTATTAGTTTGAAACGTATCAATATCCTCCCAAATTGTAACAAAAGAATATTGCACTTCTCAGTACTAACGGATGGTTTTAAGTCATTTGATGAAAATCTTTTGTATAACTTACTGATGAGGTCGTAGTAATTTCTTTCAGATTACAAAAGATGAGGAACTCGAAAATCCACTTCTTGCAGCATTGAGGCTAAGGATCCTAGAACAAACTAGTAATATGGAAACCTTTGTTCTAAAATTTGTCCGAAGCACTGAAATTCTGAATGCTTTGCAGTTAGCTAAAGTGGCGGTTGGAATAGTCTCTATTCCCGCCAAGGGAGATAAATTGACTGAAATTTGTTCAATCTGTTCTGAGGAAAGGTTTGCATCAATGATGATCACGATCAAGTGTTCACATAAATTTTGTTCCGACTGCATGAAAACTTACGTCAAGGAGAAAATGCAATATACTTGTGTTCCCATTAGATGCCCTCAATTGAGTTGCAAATACTGTATTTCCACCGCTGAGTTTAGGTCTTTTCTTCCTGTCACCTCTTATGAATCTTTGGAGAGGTCCCTTAAAGAAGCAAATATCCTTGACAAGATTTGCTGTCCGTATCCTAATTGCTCAGTTATGCTTGATCCTCATGAATGCTTGTTGACTCGGACAAGTTCATCAAGCCAGACAGACAATGGCTGCATGGAGTGTCCTGTTTGTAGGGGATTTATATGCATGGATTGTGGGGTTCCTTGGCATACTTCTATGACCTGTGAAGAATATCAAAATCTCCCATTCGAGGAGAGAGAAGCTTGTTACACGAGTTTGGTACAGAATAAAGGTTGGAGACGTTGCCAGCATTGCCACAGGATGATTGAACTAAATTATGGTTGCTACCACATCAGATGTCGGTAAGATTGTTGTCTTTCGAAATATTTATGCTTCTATTTTTAAATTCTTTTGAAGTATTTTTCTCGCAGTGACTTGGTAAGATAAATAGACTTCAAAATTCTTGGCAACATTATCCTTGCTTCGTGAGTTGGTTTCTCCTTCGAAAGAACATTTTTTTTCTTTAGATACTTCAGTCAATTTGTAAGAAAATGGTTGCTGAAGATAAATGAGGAGACCGGAGAAAAATGGCCTGCAAAAGTTCGCCTTTCTTTGATCTTGATTTCTCAATATAAGCTAAGCTACTAGTAAGAGTAGGATGACGAGGCCATCATAAAAATGCCAAAACACCTATATTTTTCCACATTAGCGGATTGGACCTGATCTGATGTTTGTGTGTGTCTGAATGATAGAGAATTGTCTTCTCTTAAATGGTCCTCACAACTGATTTCAACCGTGGGGTGGTATATGGTGAGGTTGAAATATACCCTCATCTTTTCTGGGGTGAGTCAAATCTGTATCAGATTGTAAGTTCTTGTTATGGAGAGATCGGCTTTAGCCCTCTTGGATTTGACTTTAATATAGCATCGAGAGTGTGAGTAGTTGAGCTCTGTGGTGAAATTAGTTTACTTTCAATGGGTACAAGTTGCGTAATTGACATCAGAGTCTTATCATTACCAAACATGGTACTTTTTCATTGGAGAACACCAAATCTGGCAGTTCATATGGTTTTTCAGAGCCATATTTTCTGTAATTATGAGAGTTTCATATAAAATAAACATCGAGTAGAAAAGCAAATGAAGTATGACTATTTGTCCAAGTAACATGTCTGAGCGGTTGAAAGTGTCGGTCTTGAAAACCAAAGTATTGATAGGAATGCAAGGGGTTCAAATTTTTCATTTTCCTTATTATTTTTTTCCTCTACATATTTTCTTGTTAAGAATAGAGGTACTCGTTATAATTTTCACTCTTAAAACTTCAGGATTTGATGGTCTTATTGCATTATAGTTAACTTTTTAGAAATGACCTGTAGCTAAATGACCATATATTTGTTCAAAGTAGCAATTATCTCGTTCTGATCCCTGAAACCGAAACAATCTGCTAACTAGGTAATGTTAGAAAGTTCAATTTTCAGTCACACCATTGACAACTGATGCTAACAACCCTCAAGCTCTTTAGAAAATAATTGGTACTTTTTATTCTTGGGTGACAAGCATGTTAACATAACCTAACCCATTTAGGCTGCAGCGTTGGAGTTTGATGTTCATTTAGATCTATCCCCTTTTCGACCATCTGAGTTCTTTCAAATATTTCTGTTCTGTTTCTTCTTTAAAAAAAAATATAAAAATAAATGAGAAGAAATGTTATTAGAAAAATAGTTGGAGAGTGCTGACGTCAAATTCCGTCAATGTTACAAATTCAACGTGCGAGAATCTGCTAATACTGTTTCTTTATGACTTTGCCTGGGAATAAACTTACAAAACCTCAGACAGCCAAGGAAGTGCTGAGTTGCCCAACAGAGACACTCTGAGGTTTAAGTCAGTCAAGTTATATGAATGTCACCATAATAAAAGCATCTACTTGCGTGAATTGTGTTAAAGATCTAGCAAATAAGTGGTTTTGTATGTATATGGAATAAATTATCTTATGGTAAAATGGAATTACACGTGAATTTAGTAGACTTGTTGGAATCTTCTTATCACTATCAGTTATGACTTTTATTCACTTGGTGCAAAATGTGAGGGTAAGATGAATTTTCCTAGTTGCAATTTCATCCTCAACGCTTTGTCGTGCGACGATGAAGAATGTATCATCTTCCTTATTTAATTCAGAAGCCACCATTATTGAATGAGGTTTGATGAGGCCAATTTTTATACATGACAAAAAGCACTCCTTGAAATGCCAATTAGACGCATGGGGTGCATTACACTTAAATTTACATTAATGATCATATTATTTTCTTTATTTGTAATTGGATTCATGGCATCTCACTTTTTCTTCTTATTTTCTTGCAATATCTCTTGGCATGTCTTCTGAATAGGTTACGTAAGATTACCTAACATGGTTAGTAGGTGTTAGGAGTGGCATCATGGAAATAATTCTGGAAATTGTGATTTATCATTAATTATTGTATATCAAAAGGATATATTGGCATAAAAGAAGTCAAAACTATAGAAAAATCTGAATAATGGGACGAATACGGTAAACCTTGTAAGTGCTCATTCTAATTGTCCCGTGCCCATATTTTAACTGCAGGTGTGGGCACGAGTTCTGTTATTCTTGTGGTACGGAATACAGAAATGGCCAACAGACGTGTGAATGCACATTTTGGAATGAAGATTATTCTAATGAATCGGCAAATTATCCTATCCAAGATTTTGAACAATGGGCATGGGATTCATTTGAGTCACTGCCGATGATGATGGATGCTTATTCAGATCAAGAAAAATCACAGCTGGCACTGATCCAGAGGTTCCTTGCAGGGGCATTCAGTTTGACTGATCATCAACCTCAACAATCCCCACCTCCTTGTACAGATTCCTATGTTGATGCCATGAAGGATCTGCATCAGCTACCTTGGCTCGAAAGATTTGTGTCTGTTATGAGTGATAATTATTATGATGACTACATCCAATGAGGTCGATTACCATTTCTAATATGTTTGATTTATGGGGTAGAGAGTTTCTTGCTCTCCCGCTGTTTAAACATGTGTGAATAGGTCCTTTTTCATTCAATTCTTGTATTCCTTGCGCTCAATACTTATGAGCATAAATTTCTTTGTGCAAGGATTATGAGTTTATACATTATATAGCTGCCTTCTTGCAGAAGGAAGATGGAAGTACTAAAGGAAAACAAAAGGATAAATGATTTTGACAATCTACAAGGCAATGAAGCAAATTGGTTTGTATGTTGTCTATATATGTGATTCACTTTGACATTGTATTGGCATTTCATGGGGAGCTCCGTTTTCTGTTGGATACGCCGTCCGAAATTGTCTGTCCAATTTGTTGTCCACTAATGATTTATTGACATATCATTTTACACATAATTTTAAGCACAAGTGGTATTGAAAGAAGAGTGAGATGTTAAATTAAATTGATATGTCAATGAATCATTTGGTGGACACCATGTTGGACGGAAGATTTCAACTCTCTTTTGGAGGAAAATGGTATCCTTCAGTTTTTAATGGCGCAATTGTCTCGTGGATTTTGCTTCAAGGCATCAACCCTACTGAAAGGACCACCAAATGCACATTGATGTCCAGCAGGGAGCACCCTAAGGGCCACAACCACTGGCACCATTTTGTGGGTTCAATTAACCGTTAAGTGAGCAGGGTCAGCGCCTAGAAAACAAGAGAGAAATTACTTCGAATAGAGAGGAATGTCGAAATTTTTCAAGCTAGGTTAAACTGTTGCTCTACCATTGGTGTGTTGTTGTCTTCGAGCAACATCATAGAAGTCTTCAAATAACACAAGGAGGAGGCAGAAGTAGGAAATTGCAGAATCTCGAAATATGAAAAATTCTACTTCAGGACGTGTTGTGTTTGCACTTTCCTTGAGTCTTTATTTGTCCCCCTAGTATCGTGACGCACTGACAAGCACTCCAGGATTCAAGGAAGTCATCGTGTTTGTTTTGTGCATTCAAAAAGAAAACCCGACCGCTAGTGATTAAAAATGTCTATACTTACCACCTATGATTCCATTACTTGTGCAAACTCTTCTTAATACATCATATAATGTCAAAAACTGACATTATTTTGAAAATGTTGTAGATAATATAATGGATGACATATCAAGAGTAATATTGAGTGCTTGATTTAATCGCACGAAATGTCAAAGAGGAACAACTATATTCACTAGTCAATTAGCTGAAACTTGTGACCAATAATTTCTTTGCCATTATAATATGTTTATTGAGGATTAATCAACAAAGAAACAATATCAAGGAGTGAAAGAAATTAAAATTATTTCGATTATCCAAGTTCAATCCTATACGATATTGTGTACGAATGTAAAGAAAAGAGTGTAACCTCGTCTAATGCATGGAATAGTTGACAAAAATGTATAAGATTATAGCCTAGTCACTATGTCACAGCACAGAATAGTTTTAAAAAATGAAGCTTTTATTGCAACTGACATTAAATGTACCAACAAAATTCAATTCACAAGTATTCACCAAGATACATGTCCCATCACCATACAGAACTTCAAAAAATATTAAAAAACCCAGAAGATCCAAATATAAGACTTACAAAAACAAAAGTAAACCTGATTTTTTCCTTATCTGCTTTCCAATAATTTCCAAACCTCACTTTGTTTACAGATAAAAGAAATTTGTATCAATATCACCAATTGCATGATAGCAGCACGACCAACATCCAAAGGAAGCATCAGGTGATCATCTAGAATCATGAACTTAATCGGCACGAGACATTGTTAGAACCGTAACTAATTGCTTGCAGATTAAGATCTGACATATTCGTCAACCATGGACGGGGCCCTCTGGATTGACCACGTAAATTGTATGAATAAGAAGGCCATTTAGCTTCCACGCCACAGATATTCCTAGCACCCATTTTGATCATCTTCTGGGTTCTATCAAGAACAACAAGGCTGGAAAATGTGGAAAAACTGTTCCCAATAAACACATCAGATCTCAAGCAAACTTCATAATCAATGGCTGATTGAATGAGATACGGGTGCTTCTTGTATACTTCGACAACACCTAACTTTTTCTTCTCAAAAGGAAGCAATCCCTCCTTCCAACCGGTTAGTATAGAGTTATCTTCAAGAAGGGTATCGGCCACAGCAAGGTAAATTACAGCCGGAGTTTTCAGGCCGACAATATTTCCCACTCTCTCCAAAATCTCCTCCTTACTGCTACAAATTTCACTTATATTTGATCTTTGTTCCAGCTTCTTGCAGTGAATCATCCAATCCTTTTCTATTCTCATGTGAACTGCTACATAAGGCACTGAGTCGACAACAATTTGAGACTGCCCAACCTTACGGATTTCTTTCGACCCAATCTCTATAATCTTGGAAACAATCTTATCAGCTTCTCTTGATATTTCTTCCACCAAAACTAAGCATTCAAAGACCTTCGCGTAGTCTTTAACTGGCCAATGATCATGCCACAAAAATGGGTTCTTGCCAACAACCTGAATGATTTCATACCTGTCATATGGATTGCTGCTAAATTGTCTTAACTGATCTAAATCTTTCTTGACTGTCCACCTCCTTCCACTCCCTTTTTGAAGCTCGAAAACATCACTGAAGTTGGAAACCTCTGAATAACGACCCAATTGGATAAACCCCTTACAAAGAGAGTTAAATTTTTCAAATTGGAAGACCTTATCGAATGAAATAGGTTGCAGCAAATCAACCTCTTTATAAAATAGTGACGCGCTCATGCTAGGCATCAAAAGCGTTCTATTCAGCATTCTTGCGGTTAATGCTGCTCTTGCAAATGCAATTTTCTGATTGTTCAACCCCCAAATGATTTGAGGAACCTCCAAAAATTTTGTCTTTTCAATACGAAATTCTCCATTCAATGTCAATGGTCCATTGTCAAATGCAAATAGGTTCTTGTTAAATGTCGGAAGAAAAACTGCTCTAAAAACCAAAGCAATGACCACCAGTGCCACACATTTGCAGGCCAGAGAATTCAAACGGAGACCAAGGAATCTCAAATGATTACGATTAGATATATCCATTTGAGATTCAATTCTCAGAAATCAAACCATTCCAATCACAATCTTATCCTACTCCGAAGAAAAGCATTCACATACATCAATTTCGAGCATTTAACGGGTAATAATCCACGATAATTGTTCTCTAATATTTCTCTCGCCTGACAGCACTAATTTCATATCAAAATCAATATTTGATGAAATTGAGAAAAATTAAGGAAACCGAAAAATCATCTGTTCTTACCTCGATTCATAAGTCATTGGTAAAAATCTAGACAGTGATTTCTCAAATTCCGAAAACCCAGAACATTCTTTTCGATTGACGACAAAATTTCAAGATGAAAATAAAAAACCCGACTCAACATGGAAAGTAATTCCAAAATAAGGCGCATGAATCTAAGACGGATTTCTGATTGATGATAAAAGGAATCTGAATTCTAAGAAAGACCCATATAAGTAAGATTTGTGGGTACTAATCCAGAAAAAAAGAAAAATTCTATTAATTGAAATCAAATCCAGGCCATTGTACGAATTGTCACAGAAGAACTACAGGATTAGGAGAAGGAATATCATAGAAAAAGACCAAAAAGGAAGTGAAAAAACAGTGTCAGAAGCAGTTGACCAAACTAAGCTGTCTAATGTCGTACAGGACAAAGGAGAAAGCCAGATCAGATAGCATTTATGTGGGAACATTAGACAATTGGGACCGCCACCGCGCCAGGGTTTGCTAGTGGGAAGTGGGAACCTTGTGAGCTATGGCAAACAAACTTTATAGTACTTCATTATATACTCCGTCAGGTTGGATAAGAAAAATTTATACTGAATTGAAACATTAAATAAAAAAAAAAAAAATCTTTGGAAAAATATAACTTTCATTTAAAAGGGAAAAAAAAAATCCCTTAGAAAAATTGTTGAGCTTGGTGGCAGGTCTGGGCTAAAGCCCGACGCCCTTGACCCAACCTTTATAGACATTCCTAATAGGAGACCCCACCTCTGCATACGTAGCCATCCATCAAAGCCACAAGGGCAAGGTCCAATGTCTCTTGCTCGGCTTAACTATGAGCCGTCCCCAAAGGCAAAGAGTGAGATGTATAATTGGGTCGAGTCGTAGTCCGTTAAAGTAAAGTTGTAATCGAGTTGTCATCCTACATAGATCAACCTTGGTCTATTATTTAGTGAAATTTTTGTACATTTTTCTCGAATCTTGACAATCACAGTCAATAGGTTCATGCATATCTACATGCATTGGTGAAGTACTTCCATCGAGCTACTTAACATAGGGGTTCCCTAGTTTCGGGTTCAAGGTTTTAGTTTGAATTCATTTGAGCCTCTTCGTGTTTATAGAATCACGAAACTCAAATTCCAGGGTATACAAGACGTTTGTTATAAAATTGTCTCTAAAAATAGAAATTGGGCCTATTGGGCTGATTCGTCTCCAACTGGACTCAAATCACAGGTTGTCCATGGGCCTTACTTTTGAAGAAGAGGAAATTAGACTACATACGGCCCAAAACCCTATCTCCTTGCACCTGATTCATTCCTTCAAGCATTTCTCACCTTAATCCAATCCAACTGTATTTTTATGGCAATAGATTTGGACGCGAAACCAAATAGATATCCAATCCAAGAACTAACTGAGTCTAGGAGACATAATTCTTGGGTTATTATTTTCTTTTTTTGCGCGCGGTCAAAATATGAAGAAAATAGCAAAAAAAAAAAAAATATATGATGAAATGGAAGCACGCTCTGTTCTTTGCAACATTGCAATCTCACCCTTTTCTCCAAATATAGTTGAAAATGTAAATTGTCACAGTTTTCACTACTGCCCGTTTATCTTTGCTTCTAAGCTAACTTTGAATCTCCAACATTCTTCATTAAGTGAATTGTTATTATAATGTGAGAAATTATGGAAATGATGTACCTTTCACCACCTCTCTGGCCTATGAATTGCTTGGTGTAGCCCCCGATTGCTTATCTGCACAACTGAAGGCTGTTTTTGAGCCAAAGTAAGTTATTCTTCCTTACTGTTTTGATTCGCTAATTTGACCACCTTGCCATATTTAAACATTTTATTATAATTATCTTTCAATTTTCAAGTTAGGGTCATATGAGTTCTTATCGATGTGCACGTAGAAGCATAATTTACTATTGATTCCCAAGAGAATTTACCCGTTTGAGCTTTTAGAATAATATAATGCTCATTTGAGCTTCATGGGCTTGGTTCCACCTTAAAATGTCTTGGCCAAAGTCGATTCATAATTATTTTCTGGTGTGGAATTTTATCCTTTTGACAATTTTACTTCACTTTTTATGTCAACTCTCTTTTATTTTCAATTATTTTCTGTCACTTTTTATGAATTTGTTTAACTTTTTTGAGTTTGTCTTTTTTTGAATTTTGCCACTTTTCAATTTTTGTCACTTTTTTTAATATGTGTAATTTTTTTTTTAAATTTGTAACTTTTTTGAATTTGTCACTTTTTTAAAATTTGTCTTTTTTCAGTGTTTCTCACTTTTTCTTAATCATCTTTTTTATTTTTATCACTTTTTTTTAGAACAAACATCATTTTTTAATTAAAGTGCTATTGTATGTCATTTTTTAATAAAAAAGTGACACTTAATTTTTAAAATGAACATTGTGTCACTTTTTTCTAATCAAAAAGTCACACAATTTCTATAAAAAAGTGACATTGTGTCACTTTTTAATATTACACAGCATTTTTTACTTCCAAAAAACTTTTCATATGATTTTTCAAAACATCCATAATTTTAAAGGTATTTTTGTAAGTTGCCCTTTGAAGAATTGCAAAAGTGGCATGCCCACATCACCTAATTAAAGTTAGCAGCGTTCAATGACACGAAATTTCACTATAAACTAGAGATCAACAATAGAAAAAGAAGCATTTAATTCTTGTGTTAATGAAGAAAAAAGAATTAGCATGTTTTATTGATGACAAAAACATAAAACAGCAGAAATAAATAAAAATTAAACACTATTAACCATACTTCATGCATCCTATTCATACTTCTTGTTACTAAACGTCTAGTGACTAGCAACTTGAAGGAGTGTGAATTCATTACCGCATCCCAGATTAAGGGCGTCCATAGCTTCCTCAAAGTGTAAAACATCATATGCTAGATCCCTTATTCTCGACTAGGAAAGTGGTGCTTCAATTCTAACATCGTGTTTAGTCACCACTTTCAAATCAAACGGTGGAATAGCCTCTTCTTTTGCCCCCACACTTCTCTATTCTCAAGTAATTATTGTACGGAGTTTACACTCTCTCTCCAAGACCAAGCCAACGGTCAACCTGTTCCATCGAAGTCATAAAACTACCTACCGCATGACCGTGAGGCACATACTCCTAACAACTTGGCTGCCAGCCTTTGATTTTCTGTTGGTTTGCTTTGATTTTTCAATCAACCCACCAATAACATCTTTTAGTAAGTCTTCGCGACAAGTCGAAATTGCAAGATAAGCTTGATTTGGCCAGTAACCCTACTCACTTGTTCCTCATCCCAATTTGCAAAAAGTCCGAGGTTTTTAATCACTGGCAATCGTCTTCGTTTTAACCTTGTGCCTCTATCTTTCTTGATGTATGCTTACACAAAGATATATTGTGAAACGCAGGCGGCAAGAATTTAGCTGCTCATTTAGATGTACAGCAGATCAAACAGAAATACAACTATAATATTTTTTTCCATTGATTAAGAAAAATCATCACTCGAAAAAACAAAGAAATAATATCTTTCACTCATCTTTCATCACATGAGATGATGAGAACCCAAAGCAGAATCTTAAAAAGTTCGAAGATGGAACATCTTGTGGACTCTTCTGTACAATTCTTAACAATAATACAGAAAAATAGATGCTAAAATCTGCGACAGAACACAATGTGACAACTTGAACATATACTACTCTTTGGTGAAGAACGCATCAACTTCAAGAGCAACAAGACGCACTAGCAGCCCTCTCTGCTGGTCTGTCCATGAGAACCATGCCTGACGGGTTTGGGACTGGCTGCAAACGAGGTAATCTCTTGGCTGCAGATGCATATGGACATTTTTTAGAAAGATATGAGAGAAAAATCACAAAAATATGAGCAATTTGGTTAACCGAATTGTTTCCATCTATATTGCAGGATAAACCTTCGGTTCTAGGTCTCAAATAATCTGTACAAAAATTAAGCCTAAGTCGTTCCTCGACTGAAAATAATGTCTTAACTCCAGTATATTGCACCAGGAGAACATAAGAAGAGCATATATTACTGCCCTAGTACAGAGAAAATATACTTAAAGATACAAATACTCAACATTTAAATACTTGTGCACTCTTCAAATTGTGTTCTGATTTCTGTGGGCTCACAAGTACATTTGTAAAGGGACACTTAAGTATTCTATCACTCCCCAAAAAGAAAAATTCAGTTGAATTATTAAAAATGTTGAACTCCAACCTTGAGGGCTCCTACCGCCTTGCCCCTAGAGCTTTGTGAAGGAGGTAAATCACGGGATGTGAAATTCAGTTGAATTATTGATTACAGGTTTGCTGTGTTGCACGGACAGTGTCCATATACACTCTTTGAACATTTTACCATGATTATTTTTTTATCTTTATTAGAAATATTATTTATTTAATATTTTTAATTCAAAGTTGTTATTAAATAACAAATAGATACATATATTTAAAAAAAAAAGATTTCAAGAGAATAATTAAAGAATAAAAATAAATTTACATTATATAAATGAAGAATTTTAAAGAATTTAATCTACATATCGTGCCAGTTTTTTTAAAAAATCATTTGTCGTTGCGTCCAACACGTTGTGTCTGACACATGTGTCCATGTCGATGTATCATAGGGCTTACTTCATGCATAGAAAATATGTTTCAGAAATTTTGTCAAGCAAAAACTCTACCTATTTCATAAAATAGTTCATTGATATTAGTAGCTGTCTTTGCAGAGGTTTCCATGAAGAAAAGGCCGCTCTCCTGTGCATATGCTTGTGCTTCCTGCAAAAATTAAAAAAAATAAAATAAATAAATAAAATAAAATGACATGCATGTCAGTAATAAAGGTGTTTTGAACATAATACGCTAGAAAATCAATGATCTGAGTGATGCAAGAGTTTCCAGACACACTGATAATTCCAATTTCTTATGTTTATCAATCAAATATGAAATATACAATTGCATAATGCTCAAGAGAAAGAGCTTATCTTAGATTTAAATGAAAAATGAATGTGAATACATCGCATCAAACAGAAATCTGGGTTCTAGAAGAAAATAGAGCATACTTGCCTCTGTTGCCACCTTTCTGGCATCTAACAAATCAGCCTTATTCCCAGCAAGAGCCATAACCATATTTGGATTACCTTGTGCCACAGAAAAGAATCAAGGAAAAGCAATGAGAACACTTAAGTTCTTCATGATTATATGAACATTAAGTTAATTGCGGATAGAACTACTTGGAGAGAACTTACTGCATTACCTAATGTTAGACAATAATACAACCAAGAAAGTAGAAAATGAAAAGCAACTGAAGCCATTTTTTGCCAAATCAAAATGATATGCAATTTACCTTGTGCTTGAAGCTCCTGCACCCATTTTTTTGCTCGATCAAAGGAAGCCTGCAAGGCATAGGCTTTTAGCATTAAAAACTTTAAACTTTATTTGCATTGTAAGAAATCATGATAAGAAAGAACCATCAGATGCTCCTTTATATAGAATGAATGAAAAAATTAGTGCATCAATACACACAAATATGTGCTTATGTATCATGCTTATTTAGGTTCTAAAAATGAAAAGCATAGTAAGGAAATAAAATCAAGGTCCCAAGGGCAGGGTACAAATAGTTACTTGATTGGTAATGTCATATACAATAATGGCGGCCGCAGCTCCTCTATAGTACATTGGAGCTAAGCTGTGGTATCTCTCCTGACCAGCCGTGTCCCATATCTCAAATTTTACAGTTGCATCGTTTACAGCAACTGTTTGTGAGAAGAAGGCAGCACCAATTGTTGATTCCTGTGATATCGTACAAGAAGAGTCATGTATTGAAACCCAAAAGAAGAATGTTCTGTGGTGTGAGTTGATACATAAAACAAGTATAGGACCAACCTGAAATTCAACAAACTGCCCTTTTACAAAGCGTAACACTACACTTGATTTTCCAGCTCCAACATCTCCAAGAAGCACCTGAAATAACAATAAAACTTGTCCAATTTAGTGGCAGGCAAAATTAGGGTAAGGAACTAGAGTCCTATACTAAAGATGAATCTTGAAAAAGAAAACCAGAAAAGGAAAAAAGTTAGAATCATGATTCATGAATCATCACAACATCAGAAAGTAGAGTATTTTTTCAAATAGACGTTACGATAAATAATCAAAAAGACTGATATACAATCAAATTAGTAGACACCACTTCTTCGATTTTAATACAAACTACCAAGAAAGTAGTTAATCCGAAATCTCATCTTTGAAACCAATAAAAGCACCATATCACGGGATCGATATAAATTAAAGGAGGGTTGTGATACTAAGCAAGAAGACCCACAATTAATCTGAAGATCAATAGCATATACCGATAAAGAAATATAGTCAACGCAAATTCTCATATTTTATCTTCAGTAACAAAATGCACAATTTCTGGTCAATTAATAAAAATTCTACAGCATTAAATCAGACCCACTTGATATTCGAAGAAGTTAAACAATCGAGATGAGAAATGCATCCAAAACGCCATTCACAACCTTAATCAAAAGTAAAATATAAAGAAAATAGATAGGAGAAATTACGAACCAGCTTGGCGTTGATGTTCTTGTTTCCGCTGGAGGCCATGAGTTCTTAATTATCAAAATTCAAACACAAATTGAAATATATGCAGAGAAAAGATTAAGAAAATGAATTAAGACTTGGAAGAAAGAAAAGAATTTTTGTGATGAGGAATGAGTTGACAATAAGCAAGATGATGGTGTGAAGCCAAGGTAGAAAGTTCAATTCAAACCTACCCCCACGCGCCGTCGCTCACGATTATTAAAGTATTTTCAAAATTAGGATTCTCCCTTCCATATTCTTCATCATTGACGTAGGTTGGAAATTTTAAAAAAAATTAAATTAAACAATAGGTAGACTTTAAATAATAAAAAGATTTAGCTTCCACTTGGGTCCCTTCAAATTAAATTTTTAGAAAAAGGTGTATTTTAAAATAACTATTTTTGGAGAATGTATGTTTAAAAATGTTGAATTTATGTGTAACATTATTTTATGAGAAAATATGTGATTGAAAATAATTTTTTAAAAAATAGAGTCCAAACATGAGCTTAAATGAATTTTTGTAATCACATTAGACGCCACACATGGTGATATGAAATAAGAGAGATGCATCTTATGTGTATGTTGTTTCTTGAGTGGTAAACCTTTGGAAAGGGTAATGCACCTCTAATTTTGTTGTTTGTTAAGATAAAACATTATTTTGAGCTTGAGTTATATGAATAAATACGCTAGTCATGTTTTATTACTAAAATGTGCAGTTGAAAATGAAAATGATTGTCAAATAGAGGGCTTAATAGCCAAATATGAGTAAAATGGAAATATGGGAGGTATAGCTCGCCATTTTTTAAAGTTTTGCAATCGTCTAGCACCACCATCTATGGAAGGAAAATCTCTTCTATCATCAATCACTATTCAGACTTTAAACGTCGCGTGTTTGAGATTCTTTTGTTATTTATAATGTGTCAAAGGAGTGCTTATTTTACTCGATTAATTGTTTGTCACAATGTTTTAAGAAAACGAATTCCTATTCAAGGAGGAGAGGACATCATCTCCCGACTCTACTGTCTCCTCCTAAAGAAAAAGGTAAAATATAGCACGCTTCTTTTGGCAGAAAAAATTAGAAGGCTTTCTTGGTCAGCCATTGATGATTAATGAGTAATGAGTCATGTGGTGGGAAAGAGAAAGCCCAGCAAAGAATTCACGCGCAATGATAAATGACAAGCACATCTGAACAAACCTACAATTTTTATGTTGGATAGTCATCTATTAGAAAGGACATATAGCACCACACTGATAATTTCTCTACATTGCCATCTTGGATATATTTTGTTGGTGTCAAAATTCATGACATTATTTTAATAGAGTTCGATTGTTTAAAAAAATTATTGACAGGACGATTTTAATCTTTATAGAGGATAAGGGAAGTGACCACACAAGACACGACCATGATGGCTCTAGTTATCGGAACAATTTCTAAAATTTATTACAAGTGACACTTATTTGCGAGTCTTCCTTTGGATATTATGTTGTCTCATGAACTTCTATGCTTGGTTTTGTTTGATTTGATCAATCATTTCTTGGATCAACATCGATATTATTTGGATTAACCTTCTTAGCTCAACAATGATAGTTGGCTAATGTAAATGGTAAAAAAATCAGCTAAAATCTTGTCCGTAACCAAAGGCTTGAACAGTTGAATGTAGTACTAATGTGAAATAGAAATGAAATACCAATTAACATGATCATCATTAATTCAGCGATTGTCCGGGCACATTTTGGCCAGATTTTAATACAATTTTTTTACCCTTTGAAAGGATAGTGGGGCCTAGTTGTGCAATAATTACTGACTGCCCAGGAAGCAAATTATCTAAATTGCCATTTTATAAAGAAGAATGAATTTTATGTGAAGGGGCACATTGATAATTTAACATAATTCAGTCGAAAGTAAGAGCTGCCATCATTGACGCATATGAATTTGACTAAAAATTTGATATAAAATGTGTCCTAGACAGGCGCTTAATGGCATCAACCAGTCCATTAATGCCATCCATTTTGATCTCAGCCTTTAATTCCTCAATTTGCAGTCCTCAAGATTTGTGTCTTCTTCTTCTTGTCTCTCCTCACTTGACTGAATGATATGTGCTATAATGGAAGCACTCTCATAGATTGTAGTGCCAACTCGTAAGTTGCTGGCGGCAATCTTCTAAATGACCGGATTATTGGTCCTATTTTTTACAATGACCTCTTTTATTAGAAATACTATTTTACCCTTACTTTTATTATTTGCAAAATCTATCCTGTATCTTTTGGAACTTATTAATCAGGATCTATATTTATATTTTTCAATCTTTCAAACACTTTTAAATATTCTTTGTATCTTGATAATTCTTCAAAGACCTTGGGCTGATCTTTCTTGGTTATGTATCCTTGAACTAATCCTTCTGAGACTTGTTCTTGTATATCTCTATGTTTAATTATAATATCTTCTACCTTTCTTATTTCTCTGCTAGTTCTTACAGAATCAAATCTTATATTGTGCTTACAAGAATAATCTATTTCTTGGTATATTTCTTTAATTTTTTCTTTACTAACAGAAAATATATCTTCAGACTTTTCAGCTAATTTAAATAAAAACAAAATATCTTTCTCATCTAAATATAATCTGAGATTATCATTAGAAGTGTATGTGGATGCTTGTAAATTGTTCATCAGAATTTATCAAAGATAAGTATATAAAAGCAAGTAAATAACTTACAGTAATTAAATGGAAATAAATAGGCTTTCCATCCAGTATGCTCTTATAGATGCTTTGCATGTACTTAATCAATCTTCTGAATCAAGTAAAGATTTAAAATATTTTTTGAAATCATTTGGGTCCACAACTGCTTCCGCAAAAGGCTTTTAAATTAAGGTTGCATTTCACACTCTAGAGAACTAGCCGTGTTGTCACAGACGCTATCTCACAGTATCCAGAGTCTCTGTTTTCACCTCTATCCAAACTCTTTTCAGAATCAAGTTCTTACTTGGAACGAAATTTTAAAAGATAACTCACATACAAGGTGCTACAATTTTGTTAGAAAACTGCATTTTTCCCCTAAACCATTCATCAAAGACAGGACTTTGGCATGGCTAGCATCCTTTCAAAATCAATGTTTTGAAAATCTTTTAAAATCTCTGTCCGTACTGCCGAGAAATCATGAGAAACTTAACGAAATCGTTTTATAAAAGTTTTGTTGAACATAACAAACTTTATTTTGATATTCATAAACTGAAATAATACGTGCTTACAATCTATATTTACATACCTTTGGTACTCACCTTATGAAGTTTAGAACTCCATAAGTGATTACCTTATTACAAGCTTTGCTATCTTCAAGCTATTTAATATTTTTCTGAATACAAGTGGTGTATATAGATTACAAAAGATCTATCTCTAAGATGTGTTTCATCAGAGTGTTTAAGAGATAAATTGTTTCGAGATATCTTCCTTCTTGCCTCCTTTTATAGAAGCCTTTGGGAATCTTTATCTTGACAGGTGTTTCCCACTTTCTCTTGTTGGATAGCTGAGTAGTCTTATTTCCACCGATTTTTCCATTATCTTTTTGCTAGATGGACCTCTCCTTTTGAAATTATTTGCCTTATCTTTGCATTTGTCTTCCACTTTTGACAACTGGTGGGTGAGTGATCATAATTATGGAGACTTTTGTACTATCTTCTGTCTTTTAGTAGCCACAGTTTTTCTTTAATAAATTTCTTTATTAAAGTAGTGATAAAGGGCCACTTTTGTCACCATCACTTTTCCATTTTCGAATCAAAGAATTCTGCAGGGAATTCTTCACTATTAAGAGATACTTGACTCATATCTTCAACTACACAGTATTCACAATGGTGATCACTATAGTTTCAGAGTAATTTGCACAGTTCTTTAGCCATATCTTCTGATCTATGTACTTGGTTGGAGATAATTGCAGATAATAAATGGTCGAGATAACAAATATCTTCTTCTTTTGTAGTCATCCTTGCATTGGAGTAGATAATATGATCTTCAGATGGATAAATCCATATCTTTTCTTTTTCAGTAATTATCTGAGTTACATGTTCAAATATTTCTTTGTACCATTTTGCTCTTCTATAGGGCATCATATTTAAAATATCTTGATATTCATTTTTAACAACCTTTTAACTGGTTGGTAAAAAATGTTGATTTGTAAGTCCCATTTTGATAACATGGAACGATGGATGCATATATTCAAGAACGGGATCTAATTCCATAGTTGCTGAATGGAATCTGATGTATATATTTGTTGTCTTGACGACTTCAGTATATCTTTTAACAGCTTTCTTGATATTGACTGAAAGCTGGGCTATTTCTTAGAGATCTTTGCTGAGATATATACAGAGTATATTTCCTATCTCAAAGCAGTTTCGTACCCAGTTGGCTGATGCTCCTGGATAGAAGTTTATCTTATTATATTTTGTATAGTGGAGAGTTTTCATCCACTTTCTTATCTCCAGATACCAATCTGATAGAATATTAAAAATAACAATAAAGAATATAACTTTTTCATGATTATCTTTTCTGGGAATTTTTGCTTCATGACATATCTTGACAATATCTTTTGCCTCAAGGGCTATATTTTTGCCTCGAAGGCTATCTTGGATATTTTGAATTTGTATTTCCAAATAGAAAACTTTTATCGCAAGTATTTGGACTTTCGTCCTTAATTGTTCTAGCTCCATCTCTGCTAAGATAATCACGAAGAAAATTAGTTTTATTTTTTATGTATTCAATATCAAATTTGAAATATGAAAACCAAATTTGTATCCTAATAATATATCTATTGGCAATAGATGGATCAACATTATTTTTTAAAAATGTTTTAACTTGAGTATTATCAGTTCTAATTAAGAACTTCTTTGGTAACAAATAATCTTCATATTTTTGAACTCCTCTTTTTACAGCAATGAGTTCTTTCCTGTTCGTCTCATATCTTGTTTCAACTTCTTTGACTATTCCTAATGTATAACTTGCAAGTATCTCAGGACGATAACAATTCTTTTCACATTTATATTCTTTATGATTCTTTTTAACCTTTAATACTACTCCCCAGTAATTATCTGAAGCATCTGTTTCAAGGATAAATTTCTTCTTATGGTATTACAAGGCTGGGTAATACCTTTAATTCTTCTTTTACTTTCTTTATATTTTCACAATCTTGTTCTTCCCAAAACCACATAATATTTTTTCTTAGTTTTGGAAGAAAATAATTTTTTAATTTGGCACAATTTTCAATGAATCCTTCAGCATAATTCAA